AAGAGACGTCTGGCTGTCTTACATGCTTCTTATTCCATGAAATTGAAGACATAACTGTTTTCCCAGGCTTTCACCAGCTTATTATAAAAGATGAAGATCCTGGATCCATTTGTTAACAGAATCAACCTAGAAGTTGATTTTCTAGGACAGTTTAAGAGTCTTAAGCAAGAGAACTTAAGCAACAACCCAATTCATATAAATGTTATAGACATTTCAAAGGGAATGCACGCCAATATTGAGTCTTTCAAGAAAACATGAATCAGTGCCTGGTGAAGCAACTCAAATGTCTCCTCTCTTATGCCATCTGACACATAAAGTTCATAATATCCTGCTGCACAGGTGTGAGTTGAGGCCACTTATAATCTAATGTGGCAAAATGTTGTGTTTCAGGCCAGTCTGTGGTTGCTGTCAATATTCTGTGGGAACAGTCATAGGTCACACATTTTTTTATACTGTAAATTGGTGAGGTAGAAGACCAATGATGCAAAGAAGGATCATATGACACAACACACCACTGCAGCTGTTGTTTTGCTTTAGCTATTTCCTTGCTTCAGCTATCAAGCCAACTCTCTTTTGGACTTAAAAAGATTATGCTTTCATTAGTGAGCGTATGTGGACTCCCCAAATAAGAAAAACAAGTAGAAGAAAATAAATAAAAAAAAATTCAAAAAGAAAGAAAGAAAAACAAGTAGAAGATTGCTGGGGACCAAAAAAGAAAGAAAGAAAGAAAAGAAAAGAAACAGCCATGAGGATTCTAGGATCAAAGAAAATATAAGCTTTTCAGGCTGCCTTCAGCCATTAGGCAGATGCATTTGAAGAATAAAATGAAGGTTGTAGTAATAGAAACCATTATTTTATATACAGTAGAAGAAGGAAAGGGATCGTTTAAAATTCATTTGCAACATTTGATTAATATTTATTTATTTATTTATTTATTTGTATCCCTCCTTTATTATTTTTACATATAACTCAAGATGACAAATGTATTCAACACATCTTCCTTCTCCTATTTTCCCCATAACAACGACCCTGTGAGGTGCATTGGACTGAGAGAGAGTGACTGGTTTAAAGTCCCCAGCTGGCTTTCATAGCTAAAGCAGGACTTGAATTCACAGTTTCCCACTTTCTAGTGGTGCCTTAACCACTAGCCTGGCGCCTTAATTGCTCCCATCCTCCCCATATTTTAACTGTACATTATTACTGTTATTGTTGTTTATAGCTTTACCATTTTAAAGTTTTCTGGTTTTTAATATTTGTAAGCTGCCCAGAATTAACTCCAGATGAGATGCACAGCACACAATCTAATAAATAAATAATTAAATGTCGACAGGATTTGCAAGTAATCAATTTGGTAGCTGAGAAAAGTGTTCTTGTTAACAGTGTGACACAATAGTGATATCACAACTTTGGAGCCCTGGACCTATTCACTACTTGCTTTGACTCTTCCAATTCTTAGCATATGATGCCACTTCCAACAGAAGAGACCTGTGGAGATGTGTCCTTCTCTAAAGAAAACAGTTGCTTAATAAATAAATCAGTGCCAGAAAGAATTTTCCCCCAAGGCAATAAAAAACTTCCCTATAAATAAATAAAACTGTTGTCATCCATCAAAATGAAAAGTAGCTCAGTAATTTTAGAAGAAAAGGCTCTTTGTCCATATATAATTTGTATGTTCAAAATGATGTCAATTCCAAAATACAATTAAATACATTTTTTTAAAAAAAAAATCAGCATTCTGAGATGGGTTTAAATGGCCACTTAAATATTCTTCTTTCCAGAAAAGGTCATTCTAAAACCCTTCACAAAGCACTTTGACTTTGGAGGATCCAAGAATGACAGATTAAAAGGGTAGGAATATGCAGGTATGGGTAGAGAATGGAAGTAAGATATAACCTGAGCTGGGGACAAATTAAAGAGCTGAGTGGGCTTTACAATCTGATTGTGGTGGGCTCTTTTTATCAAAGTAAACTTTAGTTCAGATATTGTCTTAGCAAAGGTTAGGTTGTTGCATTGGAAAGCACTTTTTAAAAATCAGAAAATGAGACACAAAGGGAGATTATATACAGAAATCTGAATGGCTTTCACCATGATGACCTTGAGAAAACTACTGAAGACCTGGCTATCCCCCCAGTTCTTGGGACCCATGGATGGCTGACAGTCTGATGGACAAGTATTTGTTTATATGTTTGTCTTCTGTGATTTATTAAATTGTATAGTTCTTATTTATTTTTTAAATTGTAAAGTGCTCAGTCATAAATGCTTAGGTAAAAAAACCAAAAACGAACAGTGAATGAATGAATGAATGAATGAATGAATGAATGAATGAATGAATGATAGATAAGTGACTGAAACAAAGTCCATTACTGAATTCATTGAATCTTTTTTCAGCATGTACACTGCTGATTGCCTGGGGCTAACTTATTTTCAGGCAGATTTTTTTCCAAAGAACAGAAAAAGCAAACAATAAAAACATATTCCAAGATATAATAGCAGAAGTATTCTTTTACTTCTACACATACACTTCAAATATCATTCTGATGTTCAGACACACTGTCTCCTGACCTTTGACACAGAATAATCCTTGAGAGCAAATAACACATTATTCCCCCTTCTTACTTCAGACCATATGTTTAACTATCCTACAGTTAAATAGAACCTATATACCAGGTACATTTACCAAAGACACAAATCCTTTAATTTCAAAATTGTGACTATTTACCCACTGCTTATAAGATTCCTCTACTTTGTATGATGTATGCAATTTTAATGCAATGTATGATCTTAGAACACACTCGGTTAGAGGCAATGAAATAATGAATTAACCAGATCTTTAGAGAGAACTCATGGAAATAAAGCCTTGATAGAGACATAATGTACTTAAATTATTTCTCATGAATTCTGTAGTGCTCACTTTATAAGATTCAAAGGATCACAACTTTTATTTATTATTTACAGTATGTATTAGATTTTTATCCCACCTTTATCAATACTTTGATCCAGGGGTGAAATCTAAATTTTTTTGCTACCGGTTCTGTGGGCGTGGTTTAATTAGTGGGTGGGGCTTGGTGGTTAGGTGACTGGGTGAGCGTGGCCAAGTCAATGTCACTTCTTTGCCCTTTTTTAACCTACAAAACACAACACAACACAACTGGCTCACCCACAATGTAAAAGCAGCTGTGCTAGACTCAAAATGGCCCCGCAACAAGCAGGAACCATCTCACAGCCACAAAAAGCCCAAAAAAACAACTTTCACACTTTACACACACGCAACACAACACAACACAACTGGCTCACCCATAATGTAAAAGCAGCTGTTCTAGACCCAAAATGGCCCCTGCAACAAGCAGGAACCTCACACAGCCACAAAAAGCCCCAAAAAACAACTTTCACACTTTACACACACAAAATTCCACATACAGCTTTGTGAGATTTTGTGTGTTTGTGTAGTTGGAGTGAAACACTACAGAAACACACTAAATCTCAGAAAGCTGCACAAATATTATTTTATTTTATTTTTATTTTTATATAAAAGCAGCTAAATTTAAAACTTCCTAAACTTTAAATGGCTAGGTCTAAAAAAAGAACAACTAAAAAAAAACCCAATTAACTATTTTTTTTAAAGCTCCCAAAGGGGAAAAAAACTTACCCAATAGAACAGGGGTCTCCAACCTTGGCAACTTTAAGACTTGTAGACTTCAACTCCCAGAATTCCTCAGCCAGCTTTGCTGGGAGTTGAAGTCCACAAGTCTAGGCAGGAAGGCAAGCAGGCAGAAAGAGCTACTCACCGATGAACTTGATTGCAGGCAGAGAGATTCAGTTGCTTGCTGATGCATGGATTGTGATCGTCGTGCGATCAGCAGCTAAGGTAAGCAAGCTGGAGGCTGGGAGATGGGGGGAGAAAAAAAGAAGCTTTTTTTCTTTTACATGGCTCTGGCGATCCAAGCTGAGTTGCCTGATTAGCAGGCAACTCAGCTGGGATGGTCAGAGCTTGGCTGGTCAGAGCCATTTAAAAGGAAAAAAAGGCTCTGATGATCGCGGGGCTCAGCTGGGCATGGGGGGCGGGGGCAGGGATTTTTGCTACTGGTTCTCCGAACTGCCCACCGCCATCGCTACCTACTCGCCTGAGCCAGTCCGAACCGGGAGCATTTCACCCCTGCTTTGATCTTTTTCTCCTAATCATTATGGCATTTTATACCACAGACAGGACTTATTAGAAGTGACATTCAAATTGATATGCTATTTTTTTTCCAATCTGACATTGTCTTAGAATGGAATAGCCATTGGTCAACTACCTCTCCCACGGATATCCACTGGAGAATTGTTTTTGTTTTTTCCGTAGATCCCAGTTGGATCCAGCACACAAACGTGATCTTTGTTTTGCCTATGATTCTATTAACTTCAGTTTTCAGAGAATTAATCTGCAAATAGTTCCGCAGGTATAGATAGACAAAACGTCTTCATCCCTTTCACAAAATCAATTTCCAACATGACGTTGGATTGAAAAGAACAGAAAGTAGTTTTCTGGGAGGGCAGATGACTGTGTTCCACGTAACAGTGGATGGATAGGGAAAGGAAAACCTTTGATTGCAAAGAAAAATGCAAAAGATGGAGGAGAAAAGAGAAATAATTAATGCTTTCTTAACCCGAAAGCACTCTGTATGAAAAGCAACTTTCTTAGCAACCCTGTTTAGAGTTTGTTGCAAGCCAGGCTATACCACATAAAGGAAATGAGGGTTGTGCTGTGAAGGGCAAAAGGTGAGCTTGCCTTGTTGATTCAAAAATGGAACACCAAGAGAACATATAATATGCCATTATGTCTATGGTTTCCAACTTGAACTCAGCATAAATTATTCCAGGAATGTTTGTACAGTCTCTTTTTATATCTCCCTGGCAAGGCCTATTTTGATTGCAAGGCTTCATTACTTTTCTTTTTTTATCAACTATACTTCTCCCGTGAAGATAATCTTTTTTTTGTTGTTATTGCAATTTTTTTTTTTCAGAGAAAGCCAAAATAAAACATACTGCACCACTTGTCAAAGCAATGAAGTAGGCTGCAGAGGAAATTCCTGTTTATTTAAGGAATGGGCTGTGACTTGAAAGAAACAAAAGAGAAATGATGGCGATGAAAAAACATGTACTAACTTTCTACTTGCTTCATAATTTGTAAAGTATGGTTTGTATTAACATAAAAAAATTAAAACGTCCTTTCTTTGTTGAATATAAAATGAATTGATAGATGAATTGACTACTTAAAAATATGGATGTTTTTGTTGTTAAGATAGAAGTAGCAGTAAAGTCTTATTAAAAGTTAAAGTATGGTAGTAACAAACATATCCATTGTTGTTTATTTTAAGTTCCTTGACTGAAGTGATACCATTTTTATCATGAATCTGTGATCCATAATATTGAACTCTATGTTTGAAAACATCTTGATAAAATATCACATTTTCTGCAAAAACTGCACAGAACAAATACAAAACCCTCAGAAAAGCTGTTTATTTTGGATACTATTTTGGCTTATATGCTGGTCTATTTTCAAAACGCAGCACTTTACAAGTAATAGCACAAAAATTTACTTCAATTCTTCAGATTCCCCTTCTTTCCCATTGTTCCTCTATCGCTTTTCCTTTTTTCAGAAGCACAGCCCCTGATTCAAGAGGACAGTCCAGTCAGTTTACCAGGCTCTGATCCAATATTTTTTTTAAAAAAAAAAACTTGGCACAATTGAAGATACATGGACTTCAATTTTCCAAATTCCACATGCTGACTGGGCAATTCTGGGAGTTGATATCCACACATCTTCAAGTTGCCAATTTCCTTTGGGAAACATGAAAAAAAGGCTCACCCTGAGTCAGTATAGAACCCTGAAAAATATGTTTCTTGATTATTCTTTTCTTGCATTTATGCCATAGCATGGATAGTTTAGATGGCTCTCTTCTTTCCATTTCTTGGCTGAGAAATAGTGGCTGACACATTGAGAAATATGAGTTAGAGAGACATAGGTTAGTCCTAGGTAAAGGTAAAGGCTCCCCTCACACATATGTGCTAGTTGTTCCCAACTCTAGGGGGTGGTGCTCATCTCCATTTCAAAGCCAAAGAGCCAGTGCTGTCTGAAGACGTCTCTATGGACATGTGGCCAGCATGACTAAATTCCAAACATGCACGGAATGCTATTACCTTCCCACCAAAGGTGGTCCCTATTTTTCTACTTGCATTTTTTACGTGCTTTCGAACTGCTTGGTTGGCAGAAGCTGGGACAAGTAACGGGAGCTCACCCCGTTACGCAGCACTAGGGATTCAAACCACTGAACTGCCAACATTTCGATCAACAAGCTCAGTGCCTTAGCAACTGAGCCACTACATCCTTATGTTAGTTAGGTTAGTCCTATGTTATCCATTATTCTCACCACAGTTTATCTATCAAACTAACACTTAACATATTCATTTGTGAATGTGTTTGAATTAGATTGAGCAAAGCATCAGGCTGATGTCCTCCTCTTGTCTTCCTCCATGGCCAGCACAGGAGGCAGCCCTTCCCTTCCCCGGTCACCTCTTGGATGTTGGGCCTCTTAACCGCAGCCCACGGATCAGCTGATTCAGCGAGGGCCAGGAGTTCTGTCTCTCCGGGTGCCTGGAGATATTTCCAGCACACTCTTGCTAGCCCCAATCCTGCCCACAGCACCAGGCAACCTTGCAGCCGAAAGCCCCTCTGTTGTGCAGCTCACCTTGTGGCTATGGAGCAGGCGGTGAGCATGGTTTGCACTCCACCAGGCCTAGAGCTCAAGTGTTGCTTAGGCTGCTGCTACGATGAGGCAGAAAGCCATGGAGACAGTTGGAATCGGCTCCCTCCCTGCCTCTACCCTGTTGCAGCTTGAGAAAAGGACAGTCGCCAAGCTGGAGGAGGGGGAGGGTCAGTCCCCTTATCCAGTTGCCCTCTACTGTTTCTCAACAAATGTCTGTGTGTGAGAGAGGGGGGAGGGAGAACGAGAAACAGTGGAGAGGAAACCCTTTCAAACTTCATTGCCTGCAATTCTTGTTACTCTCCTCTGTCATTTCTCTCTCTCTCTCTTCCTCTCTTTCTCTCTCTTTCTCTCTCTTTCTCTCTCATTCTCTTTCTCACACACACAGACATTTGATCGTTTAAAAGGGACAGGCTGGGCTTTGCTTCTATCATAAGCATGGACTTCCCACAATCTTCCACAATTGCCTGTCCTTTTCTCAAGCAGCAGCAGGGTAGAGGCAGGGAGGGAGCCGATTCCACAGGGCCACATGGCTTTCTGCCTATCTATCGTAGATAGATCGATAGATAGATAATTTTATTTCTAAAATTATCAGCAGCAGCCTAAGCAACACCTGAGCTCCAAGCCTGGTGGAGTGCAAACCATGCTCACCGCCTGGTCCATAGCCACAAGGTGAGCTGTGGAACAGATCCATACTGGATCAGCTGATCCACAGTCCACGGTTAAGGGGCCCAGCAGTCATGAGGTGACCGCCCTCACTGCCTCCTGCACCTCAAAAAAAAAATTTTTTTAAACCTCCCTGTAGATAAGCCCAAGTGTTTATTTTCAAGCCTAAAAGAAAATAAGACCTGGTCTTATTTTCAAGAAAACACGGTATGATGACATACTATTTCTTAGAAAACACCTAGGAAATCTGGTTTCCAAAAGCATGGTGAAAATAGAATGAAGTTGGTTAACTTGAGGGTCCCCTGTTTAGTAATAAGGTCAAAAATAGAACAGTTCTTTGACAAATGAAATGGAAAACATTGATTGCAGGTTAGGAATTATAAAAACATGACAACACAAACTGTTCCAAAATATTGTAGTGAGTGTACATAATAAAATTAAAATATTAGATTTTTTTAAAAATGTAGGCAGTGGTTAGAATAATTGGTACTCATCACATGCCTAACCCTAAAGACCTTGCTATCCATTCCTAATGAAACATTTTTAAAAATGTCATCATGACATTGTACACCACAACCTATCTAAAGAAAGATCCATTTAGCCAGCACGAAGACAAGAAACAAAGCTGACAAAACTGTAGCTATAAATATCTAAGTTTCTTTCCAATTGTTAGTAAGGAATAAGAGTTGAACGCAAAGCTTCACAAAGGAAGCTGTATTTGAAACTAAATGTTTGAATGCCAGGACTGAGGGAAATCAGTTCAAAATGAGAAGACAAATTCCTTTAAAGAAGGGAAGGAATTAAGTTGCTTTTAAGGGGGGCGAGGGGGCATGGGAAGGCTACTGTAGATTTAGCAAAACAGATTTACTAACCTCCTGAGAACAGACTAGAACCAGTGTTTCTCAACCTTGGTAGCTTGAAGATGGGTGGACTTCAACTCCCAGAATCTCCCAGCCAGCACTGCTGGCTGGGGGATTCTGGGAGTTGAAGTCCACCCATCTTCAAGCTACCAAGGTTGAGAAACACTGGACTAGACTGTTAAAATAACAGGTCACACTGGCAACCTGGGAGATTGCCCCACTCAGAAGACAAAAAGAAGCATAAGAACTGAATCTTACTAATAACAATAATAATACTGTTTAAGTATACATGGTAATACTCTTACACCTTCTAACATTTGCATTTGTGTATAAAGCAAATTGACCCAGACAATACACTGTTCACTAAGCACTTATGTATGTCAAAGAAAGAACTATAATTATTTTTTTTAAAAAAAAGAACTGAATCTTAGTATATAAGAAGGTCTTGTATCTTACAGTTGGCAGCTGCAAGATTTCTTCTTTAACTTTAGTAACCTTTAAAAATAAACATACTGTAATTCAAACATCTGCATCCTTGAATGATTGTGTGAGGCTTCTAGTTCTAGTATTAACCAGGTGCAGGAGGGTTACACAAAATGGCGGAAGGATTTTTCAACCCACCCACCCCCCATTCTGGCTGTAATGGTGAAATTAATTGAACATCATCATTCAACATAGACCTGAAGATTTCCCAGCATTTACATAGTGAAGGAATCTACAGTAAAAGACAAGAATTGGATAAGATCTTATTAGAAGGAGGGAAAGGGATATTATCTAAATGTTATGCATATTTATTGTCTCTGCAGATAGGACAGGATGTAGTGAAGGATTGTATGATAGCATGGGGGCGAAATTTTGGATATCCCCTTGACTTCCAGCAATGGGAACAGATTTGGTTGAAAAATATGAAATTAACCATGGCCTCCTCATATAAAGAAAACATATATAAAATGATATACCGGTGGCATCTACCCCCGGCGAGATTAGCTAAAATGTTTCCCGGGACATCTGCCTGCTGTTGGAAGTGTGGTTACAGCAATGGAACCTATTTTCACCAATGGTGGACCTGCCCGCAGGCGGTTAAATATTGGAAAAAAATACGGCAATGGATTTTGGAAATTACACAGATTAATTTGGAATTAAGACCAGAGATTTTCCTATTGGGGGCAAAACCTTTGAATGTTAAGTCAGATATATGGTTCTTGTTGATTCACATTATCACTGCAGCAAGATTAGCGTATGCGCAGGAGTGGAAAAATCAATACTTACCGATAGATTTGAAAATAATATATAAAATTAATGAGTGTGCGGAATCAGATAGACTAACTAGATTGATCAATGGTAAAAAAGATTCAGAATTTTATAACAGTTGGAAAGTATGGTACGATTGGGTCCAGAAAAGGTGGGATAGAATAGACATATGATGATGTATATATATGATGGCAAATATGTATGTATAAAGGAATGATTTTATACTTATGGACAATGTAATCATATTATACCATGGTGGCAGGATTGTATATTTTATTTGTGTATTAGTGTATAGAATATATTAATAAAAATTATATATATAAAAAAAAAGATTTCCCAGCATTGTAAACAAAGCAAAACAAAACCCACAGCGTTACATTTATATTGCTTTGGATTTCTTCACTGAGCAGGGCCCAAGTGCTCCTTTCCAACTTTGTGAATATATTATTCTAATATCTGGATGCTATTCTGAAGTTCCATTCATATTTTGATAAATATTAGGAAAACTATTCCATCACATTAAAGGGAAATGTTGAACAATTCTGTGAGAAACTTTGGTGTATCAGCGTGGCAAAAGTTAAAAATAGCAAGGTGGGTGGGCTAGCTAGTATTTCTGTGTCAAAAACACTAATCCCGCCATTCTGAAAAACTGAAAAGGTCTCAACTTTAGCACCAACAGGAAATCTACATGATTTACTCCTTTATTCAACAAGCCTTCTCAGTTTTGCTTTGATGAAAGGCATAAAGACTTTGCTGCATTAAGAAGGAGGAAAAGATGAGACTTACTAGCTAAACTACCTCAATGATGTTCTTAAGCATCAGGATTGAAAGATATATATGCATGTATTCTCATTATCTTTTGTTTTTCATCTTTATAGATTAAATTCACCCAGAGTTAATTGTAATTTATTGAATAAGCCATAATGCCTGAATTCACACATCATCTTAACTCATAAAATATGATTTAAAGAGATAAAGGTTTGATTCATTGACCTCCACTCCTGTTTCCAGTTTAGAAGCCACTTGCAAATCAAGGGGTCCTGATGTGCTCATGACATCCTCTGTTCATTTCAATAGAAAATGGAGTTTGGATGCATTGTAGTACATCTTTGTTCTTTTGAATATCTTAAGCAAACTCTAATCTTACAATCCTGTATTGATTTAATTGGGATTAAGATCAAATGAACTGTTTAGAGTGAACTGTTCAAATGAAGTGTTCCAATATCTCAGGGGTTGCCACAAAGTAGAGGGAGTCAAACTATTCTCCAAAGCACCTGATGGTAGGACAAGAAGTAATGGGTGGAAACTAATGAAGGAGAGAAGCAACTTAGAACTAAAGAGAAATTTCCTGACAGTTAGAACAATTAATCAGTGGAACAACTTGCCTCCAGAAGCTCTGAATGCTCCAATACTGGAAATTTTTAAGAAGATGTTGGATAACCATTTGTCTGAAGTGGTGTAGGGTTTCCTACCTGGGCAGGGGGTTGGACTAGAAGACTTCCAAGGTCCCTTCCAACTCTGTTATTCTATTCTATCTCATTAAAATTTATGTGTAGGTCAACATGTCTGTGTTTGCCATATATCTAAAATTTCTTTATGCAAAGGAGAGTAAGACATGGAATGGGACTGTCAACCCACATCCACTTACATCCGTAAGGTTAAGCAGCACTGTTGATCCCATCCCATATGTCCACATGTGAGGCATGTACATATGCAAAAAATAATCTGTGACTTTCTGCTGGCACTTCAACTATCACTAATTGACTAATC